AAAAGTTCAGAGAAAGTCTCCTGTGTGAGTTTGTCTTCAAACATTAGAAGTTGTGCATAGTTCGCGTCTGACACACGACATGAAGATCAACTTATTTTCGTGGCAACTTGAAGCGCAGTTGGTTTCGAAAGGAAGGGTGTGGTTATTAGTTTCCCAATGCGACAGACGGTGACTGTTAACCCGTTAAAAAGGAGCCAAAGTCCCCGGTGTTATCAAACCAAACCCCAATAAACTTTAATCCGCTTTCGATCTGAGGAGACGGACGCAAAAAAAAAAAAAAGTAGCTTGATGAACCTTGACAACTCTAACGTTAGCATCCAGTTAGCAGCAACATTTGGTACATGCTAGCTAGCGTCCCTGAGTGTTGGGCGCAGAGAAGGAACGAGTTGTTCACAAACAGTTGTCAAAGTTAACAGATATTAAGTCTTTATATAAACAGATGAACTCGCGGATAAACTTTAATTTCCACTAAACTCGGTTTGAAGTTGTTGTATCTGGTTAGCGAACACCGGGGAGCTAATAAGTTAGCTAGCAAGTTAGCACCAGGCGGAACTCAAACTTAAATTTTTTGTTTTTTTTAAATTCTTCAACTTTAAAGTACTTTTCGCACGTGGATCAACAAACACACGTGCGAGGAGAAGTGACACACAAACAGGAGATTGAATCATTTCAGACACAAACCGAGTTTTCGTTAGTTGCTCATTAGCCTGCGTTAGCTGCCCATGTAGCATGGATGCTAAGCTATTTCACCCGAGAGGATATCTCAGCGAACACCGGAGCCGGGGGTCGTTCGAGTGACTCGTCGCGGGCGCAGAAGTGTCCCGGAGCTAAAGGCTGAGGTGCCGGAGTCACGGGCTGGATAAACGTACAACACGGAGCGGGGTTTACTGCAGCGTGAAGCCCGAGGAAACACTCACCGTGCTCCGCTGTGTGTGAGCTCGATCCCTCTGAGAATGTACGGAAGAGACCGGACAACAGCCGCCGGTGATTGGACCAGGATCAGCCAATCACAGCCTCACAGGTGAGAGTACGAACTTTACTTTATTCTCTTATTCAGCAACATATCTACGTGGTTTTATTAAAACCAGTGTTATATATTA